GTTCTATTTCTTGTAAAGCTGAAAAAATGTTGTGTTTTAATCCCCACAGGGGTACAGTCTTAGGGTTTAGAGAAATGCTACATCTCACATGTACATGAAATAATGAAATATATCAACATTTGGAAAATGTGCATAACTCAGTGAACTAGTATTTTCCAAAGAATCAGTTCAGGATATAAACTCATGAGTGGTTGTAAAGATGCATTTAAGGTTTAAGATAAACCAAGAGGGCGCCTGGGTGGCTCAGTGGTTAAAGCCTCTGCCTTGGGCTCGGGTCATGGTCCCCGGGTCCTGGGATCGAGCCTCACATCGGGCTCTCTGCTCAGCAGGGAGCCTGCCTCCCTCTCTCTCTCTCTGCCTGCCTCTCTGCCTGCTTGTGATCTGTCTGTCAAATAAATAAAAATCTTAAAAAAAAAAAAAAGATAAACCAAGAGATTTTAATGTAACAGAGTACACACAGTTCATTCCTGTTGTTTTAGATAAACACTGCAACTCGCCTTTATAAAATTACTGTGTTGGAGCAACTGGCTTGCTCAGTGACTCTCAGAATCATGAGTTTGAGCTCCATATTGAAGGTAGAGTTTACTTTAAAAAAAAAAATTAGTTTGTCGGGACGCCTGGGTAGCTCAGTTGGTTAAGCAGCTGCCTTCGGCTCAGGTCATGATCCCAGCGTCCTGGGATCGAGTCCCACATCGGGCTCCTTGCTCATCAGGGAGCCTGCTTCTCCCTCTGCCTCTGCCTGCCATTCTGTCTGCCTGTGCTTGCTCTCTCTCCTTCTCTCTCTCTGACAAATAAATAAATAAAATCTTAAAAAAAAATTAGTTTGACATAGTAGCAAACTTGTCCTATCTAAAAAGACTAGGAAGAAAAATAAATAAATAAATAAAAAGACTAGGAAGATACTTCTCCATTTTCCCATTACATATCTGTTTGAAGCCAGAACTTTTTTTTTTATACTTCAGTCAAAAACAACTGGATGATAAAGAAAATGTGAGAATCCTACTGTCTTCTATTAAGCCAGCTAGTAGAGAATTGCAAAAATGGAAAACAATGTTACATTTCACACAAGTGTTACTGATAGGCTATTGTGTTTGTTATTGTTTTAAATGAACTAATAAATGTTTTTAAACTTTTCAGTCAGCTTTTATTTCTAATGTAAATATTGATGGCGATAACCCATACAAAGTTTTGTGAAGCCCTCAGTAATTTTTAGGAATGTAGAGGCCCTTGACACCAACAAGTTTGAGAATCACTTAGAATATACAGAATCGTGAAGGTACTAAAACCTTTTTCTGGAAGCTGCCTCTCAGATGATGAGCACTTCCTTTGTGATGCGGGAGGGAGGAGATCCGCAACACTTTACTGCTACCTTATGTTAACTGAAGTAAAACTCTTACCTCCGAAGCTCTTTGCCACATTGTCTTGTAGAGCTGAAAACGTTGGATGAGGTAGGAGTTAGGATGTCAAAACCTGAAACATCTGTCATCTTCTGATCCATCCAAATGGCTCATGTTTAAAATAGAAATTAAAATTTAGATTATCAAATGTTATTCAATCGGTTGGTGTCATAGCTTATTTGTGAAACTCGGTCTCATGTCCCCTAACCTTTTGCTTGCAAATCAGTATTGGATGGCTGGTGGCCGTAATTCAGGCCTGGGACTCAGAAAGGATTTCTGATTAAATGTGAAGGTTTGGGTATATGCACAGGCACACAGAATAGTTTAATCCAAGAGAGTCACAGAGGGGACAATGGAAAGCTGAAGTCGGTCAAATAAATGAACATGGGACAAAACCTCAGTGAATGCTTATCAAGAAAATATAAAGAATAGAAAGCCAAGAGAAGGGTACTAATGTTTTTTGAATACACACAATGGTTGTATGAGAAACCACTGGGTTACATGAGGAACCAACGGCTCACATTACCTCAGAGTAGATGTTGGGCTCTATGCTAATCTCCTACAAGGATTGAACAAACTATATCATCATAACTGTGTAAAGCAGGTATTTTCTTCTTCATCTGTCAACTAGGAAATACAGGTCTTGAGGGTGAGTACACTTCCAGGATCACACAAACGGATTCCACATCATCACACAATGCCATGTCAAAGATAGGGTTTGAATTTCAGGTGTCTCTTACCCTGGATCCTCTCTAAGAAAATCATATATAAATGTAAGTAAATACATATATATTTAAAATATATGTAAATAAAATATATAAACATTTATATGTAAGTTTATATATTTATATATATATAATATATGTATATATAATATACATACATATATATGTATGTATGTATATATAGTATCTACCTTCCAGAACTTTCATGTCTGGCTTTAAATTACACTAGCCTCTTCCCTGTTCTCTTGAGGTGGGGGAGCTGATAGAAATCCATGGATGTGTAATGAGCTTTTATAGTCATCCATAGGCAACATTCTACCTTTTTTTTTTTTTTTAAACATTTTACTTTTTCTTTATGGGCCATGAATTACAAGTACAAGGGGACAAACAGCAAATGTGTTTCTGTTTAATAAAGAAACCCCATTTCACTAAATGTTCTCATTGCTGGAACTGTGAGCACAGGGACAGCTAAATGCTATTAAGCAAGAATCCGCAATCCTGCATTACACATAATACCATGGAAATTCAGAGCCAAGGTTAAGTGTTCCTGTGAAGTCCCACAGCTAGACACCTGACACCCACGATTTTCACCCTACCCCTAAATAAGCTTAATCTATACTATATGTAAGAGTGCATAAGATGGATAATATATTTTAAATTACAACTTAGCATTTAAAAGCTATCATCCAACTAAAATTCAAGAAAGAGGAGTCTAAGTGAGATGAAATTGAGCTCTGAAACTTAAGCCAGTTCCTCAGGAGCTGAATCACACCCAAGGCAGTGTTCAAACAAAGGCTGAAGCCTTGAGGGTGTGTAGGGGAAAATTAGTAAATGGGTTTCTCCAGAGCGGTGTGAAGTCATCAGGCCAGGGTAATGCTTCCCAGAGGTGTAACCTCATGGGGGGTGAGGGGGGGAGGTGTTGGCGGAAATGCGTGGTACTTTGCAGGTCTGCCCCTGGGGACTGGGTTGGCTGCCTACCTGGTATTGCCATAAAATTCTTGACCTCCAAGCACATCCCCTAACACCACACCCTGCGCGACTCCTTGAAAAGCATCGTTTCAAATTTCACTTGACTTTTCTGTTTTGACTTGTTCCTTATTATCCAAAATATGTGATAAGGAGCAAAACCCCACTTTTCAAGGCCTAGCCGAGTTCCAAAGAAGTCCACACTTCAGAGAAACCTTGGAAGAGAAGGGAAAAGAAAGAAAGAAAGAAAGAGAAGGGAAAGAAAGAAAGAAAGAAAGAAAGAAAGAAAGAAAGAAAGAAAGAAAGAAAGAAAGAAA